CAGAACGATAGTAAAACCGATGTTTCTGTACAGAGCGGAATGTTTGGCTACCCTGAAGAGACACTAGCAACTGCTAAACTCGGTAGAAATGCGAATGCTGGATATGTGGTGTCAGCAGAAAAGGGCTACATCCAGAACAGCTTCATAAGAGACACACTAGCCATAGCACCAGTTTCAAAAAAGTCTATCTAAAGCCGGCACCGTTGGTTTGGGACGCGGAAACAAGATCCATGGAGTACGTTGCAAATGTGTTCGAGGCACTGATACCACTAGGGAAGGAAAGAAGATTTGGGACGGAAGGAAAGTCGGCACGATGACGTCAAGAACGATTTGAAACTGCCAGGAGTCACTGAATGTCTAAAAAATGACAGAAAAGCGTGGAAGAGATTGACTCGATTAACATACTCTCGTTCAAAAAAAATGCTAGAAAAAAGAAGTCAGCATTTTTAAAGACAGACTTTCTTCGCCAACCTACATGGCATAAAAGTCAAATGTCTACCTTATATTAAGCACCTGAAAGTATTTCTCATCTTCTTTGTCTGCATCTTCATCTTCCATTACCGCTTATCTTTTCCGGTAGCGGAGGCAGACACGTCAGACAGTGCATCCAACGTTTTCGATCCGGTGCTAGAGTGTAATCTTCAGCAGAATATAACCGGACTCTAGAGCAGACTATTTCTTGCATTTGCCCCAGGTTAATTTTCGTCGTCTCCTGGGTCTTTCTTCTGTCTGTAGGCTGAGCAAGTAGTTGTCGCTTAGCCTTCCTTTCGGGACACATTCGCAACATGTGCTCAAACCGTCGCAGCTATGATTTTTCAATCTGAAGAAGCAGCGGTTATACATCAAGACTCATCCGGATTTCTCTTCTCCGGGTCATGTGTTCTCCGGGACGTGACGCGCCAGCCAAGCGATTCATCTGAAAAAGCTTATTTCAGCCGTTTATATCCGGGATCGAAATCCTGCAGTCAGAGTCCACGACTCATGACCGTGCGTTAGCAAGCGAAGGAAGATCGATTTGAACACAGAGTGTAGTTTTCAGACTGAGCTCTGCTTTAGTCACAATGGATCACGCTAGTTCACGCAGAACGCCACTGGCTATTTCAGTTCACCGGTCAATCTCTTCCTTCCATTTTCCATCACGAGTAGATACGACAGCGAGGTACTTTAACTTCTCCACCTGATCCACTGTTTCTCCATTTATCTGAAGTGAGGCAACAAGCAGGAGAATGAGAAAGTATTAGGCTTTTCGTTTTAGATGCGTTCGCACGCATGCCGGTCACGTCACATTCGGTTGCGAATTTTTCCAGTGAGGGTTATACATCAATTTCAGAAGATGCCAACAGAACATAGGATAGAAGAGCTTCGTGAAGTTGTTGATAAGATATCTGAAAGGATTAGCTAACCGTGAAAATGAATGAATGATTCTCTTCGACTGCCACTGAAAGTATTAATTATTTTCAACATATCTGTATAATCGAGTTCAATCTTGACTACGAATAAGAGCATGTCACTGGGTACAGGTAGAAAAGTATTACCTTCATTTAATAAACTTGATACTGGCCAATGATTAATACAATAATTCTCTGATTTAGCACTTCTACAGTGAGTCATTTATTTATGTGGATGGTTATTCAACAAAAAACAAAAAAAATGGCATAAATGCTTTCAAACATCATTTACAATGATACAGACCTAAACTGCGTCAGAGTTGGCACAAAGTGAGAGTAGTTTGCTTGTTCACTCACGATAACAGGAATGAAAGGAAAAGCGCTTACAGTACAGTGCTATAATAAACGTGTTTTACTGTTTTTACGGTCACCGAATGTGTCTATTTTTAGTTGACCGTCAGATGACCCTATGCTCATTGCAGCCGTAATGAACATGCACCTGACAGCGCGCCGTTTTCCTCATAATTTTATAGCACCTTTACCTAACACTATTATTTAAATGCAAACGACTTGCTGTTCGTTTCTTGGCCGGTTGTACCAAGTCGCATATGTATGCCTTTCCTACTCGCGGGAATTAACTGTTAATAAAAAAAAATATCTATGCTCTGCTTAGGCTTCGAATCAGATCCATCTAAAATACAAAAGTAGACTGCTAATCCACTGCTTCGCTGCCACCATTGTGGTTCTGTTCGAGTAATCATGTGTTGAATATTATAGTTATTATTTGATTTTCGCTGTATGCTGAATGCTCATTATGCGTCTTATAGCTCCGCGATCGGAAAGTAAAGTCGATGAATTCAGTATTCAACCTTACCGCTCTGGAGCGATATTTTGCGGAGGTAAAGAAGGCACTAATTATCCGACTCAAAACCGATACTGTATCAGATTACTTGAGCGAAGAACTGGTCAGACGCTACGGTAAACTCAGCAGAAACTTAAAAATTGACCTAAACGAAGCAAACGAACGGAACTATAGGACAAATTTGCTAAAAGCAGCACAACTAGCTGACATCAGCGTCGCGGAAACAGACGTGCCGTCGCTGGACGACGTAAGTGGTTACTTGTATTTCAAAATTACCCCAGACGAAGCAGCGGCTATTCTTCTGCCCAGTGTCAAACTGACGACGGTCAAACAACCATCAAGGCGTTGCCACGACTCAAGTCTCAGTACGGCCAAGAAAGGAATCGAAATTAATGACACTCGTTTCTGTGAAACTCTATCGGTGGTCACTTGCACTGCCGCAACTATCAAAGTCGACTATTTTCCGGCAAGGTATTTGGCCATTTTGTCCAACTCCCAATTGGTGCTCTACAGTCCAACGCGGAACGAGCAAAAGCAGCTTGCAGCACCACCTTCTTATGTATTTGTGAATCTGTGTTACAATAGGAAGACAGAAGAGCTGTTTCTGGTGTTACGTTCTTTGAATAGGCAGCATGACTGGATTCTGCAAGTGATCGACTTGTTCATTACAACCTATGAAGCCAACTTCACAGCGACTTTCGATGTCGGACCGGAAGACGCTGTAGAGTGCATGCATATTGTGACATCATCGAGTGGAATACTCTATGTCGTTCGTGATTGTAGGAATAGCGTGTCTGAAATTTGGAAAGTGGTCATCATTAGGAAACGACTCAAAGTTAAACTTAAAGAGACTCTGCTCTATCAAAAAGATGATTCCTGTTATACGAACTTCGACGTGTTAGAAGCGGATAAGCGCGTTTATGTGATAGTGTGGGATAATATGAATCGGTGTTTAAGTCGTCTAGTCATCAGAGATAACCACTGCATATCTGTTTGGAAAATTCTGGTATCTCCTGATCCGATTCCTTTTTGCCTGGATGCAGCTAAGCGTCTATGGTTATTTGATCCAGTGTTAAGTTTTATTTATAGCAGCAGCGGTCCTGTAATGAACAACTCCGCGATATCCCTGAAGAAGATGATGAAATATGATTCGTTTCAGCCAAGCTACATTTGGAATTCAGAAGACAAACTGATGGCAGCTCACTGTCACAAGAACATCATTCGCTTGTTCCAGTTTGACAAGTACAGCATGGACAAGTACGGCTTACAGGCATGTGTTTGGCCATATT